AGTGTACTAGGCATTAGGCTGCTTCAGAGACTTCATCTTGTATAAACACAATAGCAACACAGGGGAAGTAATAATTATTGCCATTTTCAGACAAGGCAATTGAGTCTCAGAGAAGTTAATGAACTCTGCAAGGATACGGAGATTCCGAAAGAAGATCCAGAATGCAAAACCAATCTATTTGAACCCAGACCTAGGCTACTGGTCCCTGTGCCCTTAAAGTCAATATGGTGAGTGTCTGCTGGACCCACAGTACTCTAAAATCTGGAACCTTGGTTCTCAACCCTGATGGTATGTTAGATTAAGGTGGTGCCTCCACCCAAGACCTGTCTCTAGATACAGCACTTTACGGTCTGTAGTTTTTAAAGCCCCACAGGTGATCCCAATGTGATTTGAGATTCTAGTGTGGTTCTCACTGGTTGTAAACCACTGAGCTCTATATTCCAGGAGGTTCCAGGGAAGAGTTGAACTCAATGGCATTATCACTACCAAATAACTGAGACCTCATCTGACCCTCTTCATGCTGAGGGAAACCTTTTAGACACTGCCTTAAAAGCCTCACTATAAATTACCTTAAAATAAAACACTATAAATAAGCTTTCCCTTACAGCCTCCAGTCCCTACAAGTGACCCCGCTTGACCCTCCCATCTGAAGACTGACCCCTGCCATGGATGTGGTATTAATCCTGTCCTTCATCGAACAGAATTATTTAAGGAGCTTTAGTTTTCTAACCCCTTGACTCAACATCAAGGTATGAATAACAATAGCCATGTATCAAGGACTTACGTGTGCCAGGCATGGTGTTAAGTGCTTTACGTGTGTTAACTCAATCCTCACCCTGACATTATGAGGTAGATGCCCTGATAATACTCATCTTACAGATGAAGAAACAGAATCATAGAGAAACTAAATAATACGGCCTACGTCACCCTGCTAACCAACAGAACCCAGATTTTCACTGGGTTCTGCTTGACCACAGAGTCTGTATTCCTGGTCCCTCACTACTCAACATCTCCACAGGCATGCCCCGGAGCTTCCTCACTGCAAGATGGAGTTTTTCCTTCTTACCACAAATCCTCCTCTTCTCCTGTTCTTTCCCAGCTAAAATCACGTCCTCACACTCATCATTTAAATTGATATCTCTAGATGATCCTTGACACCCATCACCCACAGCAATTAATTGGTCCCTATTATGTCCTTTGGAATGTTCCCCTCAGTGGCTCTCAAATCTTTCAGATCCTCGTGTGTTTCTTTTCAAGATTAGTTTACTAACTCCTGTAAAGAGTGCCTGGGTGGCTCAGTCAGTGAAGCGTCCGACTTAAGCTCAGGTCATGATCTTGCAGTTTGTGAGTTCGAGCCCCAGGTCAGGCTCTGTGCTGACAGCTCAGAGCCTGAATCCTGTTTGGATTCTGTGTCTGCCCCTCCCCTGCTCATGCTCATGCTCTGTCTCTCAAAAATAAATAAACGTTTTTTATTAAAAAAAAAAAAAAAAGTCTTCCTATCCTGTCTTATCTTTTTCAATCCAGATTCCACTTCACTGGTTCTAGATTTGATCATCTATCTCTCTGCCCCTCCCCTGTTCTGTCTCTCTGTCTCTCAAAAATAAACAAATGTTTAAAAAAAAAAAGTCTTCCTATCCTGTCTTATCTTTTCCAATCCAGATCCCACTTCACTGGTTCTAGATTTCATCACTTGGTAATGCTAATTTGAGATTGCATGGGGCTTAAAATACTTCAGTGATGCAATGACTCCCATATGATAAAACACCAATTCGTTCACAATGTAGCTCTGACTTACTTCTTCAGAGGCCTGCCCTACTGTTCCCTAGCCATTGTCCTTACCCTATAGACACTGTATATTCTTCTCTCAAACTCATAAACTGAGGGCCCATAAACAACCCCACCCCATGCTACACCACGTTGGTTCACCCAGTACTAGTGTGTGTGAATGTGTGCATGTGTGTGTGTGTCTTAACAGTTACCATTTAAAGAATTGGGAGAGTTCATGTAAAAATCCACATTTCCTACTTCTCTTGAAACATTACTTCACCAGTTGCCCTAGGTCTCACCACCCCATGTTGTACCCCCAAACCCAACTCACCTCACACATTTGAGTGACCTGTATGACCCTGAAGACATCTGAGTTTGTGATCTCTACTCCAGACTGGTAGAAGGTCTCTACATGTACAGTGTATCTTCATGCCTCTGTAATTTTGTTCACATTGTTTCTTCAGATCAGAGTACCCTTTCTCCACCTGGTAAGGTTCTCTTTATCTTTGAAAAAAAACAGATAAAGGATCACCATTTCCGTGAAGTTCTTCCAATAAAAGCGGTCACCCTTTGCTCAATGATCATTCCATTAAGCTTTATTTATATTTCTAATATAGCTCTCCACAAACTTTTAAAACAGTTGTATATATGTGTTCTCCTGGCTAGACTGGGAAACCTGGAAAGTAAGCTCTGTCTTGCTCAGCTTTCTACCCTCACCCACATTGTCGACCATCACGCTTTGCCCATTATATACCTTCCATGAACACTGAGTAAATTCACTTGAAATCAGAAGCTCTTTTTTGTTCTGTATTCAAGTCTTTTTATTCCTATTTTTGCGAAACTGAATGATTAAAGGACTTAGTAGTTTATGTATAAAGGATCAGTGAAATTATTGTTTCATAAAAGCTTTGAGCAAATGTAAGTTTCTGAAGTCTTGAGTAAAAGTATACAGATGATTATGAGAGTTGGTCCTACCTGACTCCTAAGTGCATAATGCAAAGAAGTATATAAATACAACTCCCTTCCCTCCCTAGGATTGCCCATAAGAATCAAGTAAAAACGAATATAGTTTCAAAACACTTTCACACTGATGACACATTTCTTAGGTGGTAATTACTTCATTAATCACCTCCCAACCTTCACTTACAGTTTCTAATCTCATGTTTTCATAGGAAGCTCACATTGTAAACTGCTTTTTCTACTATATCTTTATCTTTGAGACTCTATCTCCATTTCTTTTGCACTTTCTATTACAATAGAAGAATACTGAACTCCTAAGAATTTAGATCTAGGTTGAGAAAGAAGATAGAACATTTCTTATAAAATTCACACTAGGTAGCATACAGAACTTGCTCTAGGGAAGGAATGCCCAAAGTAGACATAAGAAGGAAACAAAAATTTTACACTCTCTTCTGGAGATGTAGGAATGAAGAGCCACAGGCCGCAGTTGCCGAAGTGAGATCTCAGAAAGAATGACCAGATTCTGTTGGGAGCTGCCTCTGTTTTTTGCCAAGACCATCTGCTGACAGCCCCAAGCCCCAGGCAGTGGACCGCAAAGCCTGTTAATATTGAAACTCCAATAACATTTTACTGTCTCCACTTTGTCTCCTTCTATCAGAATTGAACATGGAGCAAGTGTGCACAGAGGAGCAGAAAAACTCCCTGGACAGTTGTAAATTAGCCTGATCCTGGGCTAAGCTCATGGGCATCCCTAAAGAACCCCATTTCTTCCCAAGGGCATTCCAAGTGGGGTGAAAGGAATCTAACGGGAACCAAACAGTCTGCAGTGTATCTACGTTCCGGGAAAGTATGCCAGAAATTTCAGACTCAGATTTAAATCTTGATTTGTAATAGTCTTCTTTCCTTGTGATCCAATTTCCTCTTAATCAAGAAAGATTTTTTCTCCGTTAACCTTATCAGATGCTGTTGAACTCTGAGTACACATCTGACAGATTTCTAGGTAGAGTATTAAATCATCTCCCAAATTGTTTTAATCTTAGGAGGTAAATGACCTACATGATGAAAAACTGACATCAACATATTTTTTTTTAATAAATTTGTCTCACCATTAGAATTAACTGACTTTCATGCCCTTTTTTATGCTCTTAGCAATTCTCAATCAATATTGATTAGAGGAAAGGATACAGTTCCGAAGTCTATAGACTATTGTATGAGAAAAAATTCAATTTGTCTTACTTTAAGAAATTATTCAGTGCTGAGTTCTGAGCATTTTATCTGGTTTAGTATACTTCATATCTGGTTCTTTTTCTCTCCAAATGACCTATCTATCTAGTCCTTTTTTAAAAACTGTATTTCAATCTTTGTTCTGAGAATCGAATGCATGGCTTTTTCTACATCAACCTAAAGGAAGGGTATGTTATTAAAAACAAAAGGTCATGCGGGGTTTTCTTCTGATAGCGTTCACTTATTTTGTCTTTAAATGATCTTTTTTGAAACAAAATATTTTTCAACATATTTGAAAAGATTTTTTGTAATAATAATTTCCGAAAGTCAGTGTGTGTGTGTAGGTCTTAATTTAAAGCTTAAAAAAAAAATTGGACCAAAAATTTGACCATCGTCTTATATATCAATATGACCTGTCTATACAACAATTCAAGCTTGGGACTGGAAAACCCGCCCTTTGTCTCCCCCTTACCTGGGCCTCGGTTTTCTCATCTGGAAAATTAAGGTTGGAGGAGGTGATTCTAAGGTCTGTATCAAATAGAGGTGAAGACAATAGAAAAAGGTAATAGGATCTTTGATAACTAGAGTAAAAAGCACAAGTTTTGAATGAGACAGATCTGGGTTTGAATCGCGGATATTATTAGCTGTAGGAAGTGAGATTTCAATGTACTCCTCTATAAAATGGGACTAATCAAGAGCCCTTTTGAGATTTAAATGAGAACAAGCCAATAATATTCCTAGAACAATTTGTGCACATATTTTACGCCGCTATAAATGGTAGGACCATATTTTAAGGTCAAGAAGAACATAGGGCTGAGCACATGACCAAATCTAGTCATTTCCACTCTGGCACTTGAGAAGAAAGGGAGTGCGTATCACTGTCCTTTACCAGCAGAGACGTCCGTCTGCCGTGATGAAACTGGAGACGTCAGGGTTTAAAAAAAGCACACCATCGCGGGGAAGGCACCACATCTTGGCAAGAAATATTTCACATAGTTTCCACGGTCACCAAACTCTTCCCACCCCACACCCTGCTTCTATTTAAATCTCAGGCACTCCACAGGTGGACAGTCGCTTCAGCCAGTGCCCGGGCTACCGGCAGAGAAGAGAAGGGTGGCATGGCTCTGGGAGAGAAGGGAAGAGAGGAGGGCCCAGCCAAGCGTGCCCTCCGGAAGGTCCGCACAGCCACCCTGGTTATCAACTTGGCCCGAGGCTGGCAGCAGTGGGCAAACGAGAACAGCATCAGGCAGGCCCAAGAGCCCACAGGTTGGCAGCCGGGAGGGACCCAGGACGCACCCCGAGCTCCTAAGCCAGTGATCTACCCCGCCCCCCACCAGAAAGCTCAGAGCGCCCCGAAGTCTCCCTCCCAAAAGCCAGAGGGAGCCGCTGAAGCCTCTCGTATCAAAAGGAGAGAGGTGACCAAAACAATTGTCAGCAAAGCTTACGAGAGAGGAGGGGATGTCAGCCACCTCAGCCACAGGTACGAGAAGGACGGTGACATGCCTGGAGCCGGGCGGCAAGAGGATGACATTGACAGAATCCTCCAGAGCCATGGCTCCCCGACGCGCAGGAGAAAGTGCGCCAACCTGGTGTCCGAGCTGACCAAAGGCTGGAAAGAGATGGGACGGGATGAGCCCCAGTGGCGGAGTGACAGCATAGACACAGAGGACAGCGGCTACGGAGGGGAGACCGAGGAAAGGCCCGAGCAGGACGGAGAGCAGGTGGTCGCCATCCGAATCAAACGCCCCTTGCCTTCCCAGTAAGTGAATGCCCCCTTCAGCTCCTTACTCTGCCTTGGAGTCGTGACCAGCCATGGGGACCGGGAGAGCAGGGAAATGCTACCAAGGTTAGAAGGAGAATCTTAAAGACTGGGCCAGCAGTGAGGTCCTGTGGGGACTAAAGGGGCAGTGCCCAGCTACACATGGGACTTGGGGTCGAGGGCCTGTACTATTTTGTTTCTGCTTTCTGTTTTGAACTGGCTACTCAAGTCTTAGCCTCAACAAAGATAAAGCCACCAGAGAAGGTTGTCTGGGTACATTTTTAAAATACATTCTATGATGAGTCACAAACTGACTTATTTCTCTGCCGAAACAGTGCTTGTTGGTACAGCGGGCAAACCTTTCCCTGGTCTCAAACCAGTCTGTAGTGTTATCAGCAGACACATCTACCTAGAGAGTGCCTGCCGGGCAGAGGTCTTTGTGACCCAGTAAACAGGTGGGGAGGCTGCTATCTAACTCCAGAGTAGGCTCTGAAGTCAGACCCAAGTTCAAGTTCCAGCTCCGCCCCCACTATAGTTAACACTGTTACATGCTTGAAAGTGGCTAAGAGAGTAGATCTTAAATGTTCTCAACACATGCACACACACTGTTTATTTTTCTAAACCCATTTCTTTGTAAAATGATAGCAACAGTAACCTTAGGGGATAAAGTCTGTTGTACTGGCAGAAGTAAACGAGATTAAGGCTGCCAGGCCCTTAGCACAGTACCGGCCACATATACTCCATATGTAAAAGCTGTTATTATTTATATAGATTCTATTATTTGGCAATTTTTCAACGTTTCAGAAAAAGTTCGTTCTGTTGGTAAACAAAGACAGACACGCTATTAAAGCCAGGTGGTTAAAATACCACAATCCAAAAACATTTAGATGTCAGATACACATACCTACACACTCAGACATACACACTGAGTCAAACTGATACATTTGTTCAGACAGAAAAAAAAAAAAAAGACATGCTGTCTTTCAAGACACTCCACCTGCACATAGTAGAAAGTCTGGAAATCTCACTCCACAACTGTAGAATATCAAAATATGTGAAAAGTCTCTGATGAATGCTGATCAACGGACTCCCTCTTGGAATATTAGATGTGTGGGTGTGCTTTTTAAATTTAATGAAATAAGGTAAAGAACCTGATTACCTGGTTTGACAAAAAATTGGCTTACAGATTGTGACTCTAAAGGCATTTTTTTTATATGAAATTTATTGTCAAATTGGTTTCCATACAACACCCAGTGCTCATCCCAAAAGGTGCCCTCCTCAATACCCATCACCCACCCTCCCCTCCCTCCCACCCCCCATCAACCCTCAGTTTGTTCTCAGTTTTTAAGAGTCTCTTATGCTTTGGCTCTCTCCCACTCTAACCTCTTTTTTTTTT